GTCCTGCATGCAACGAGTCTCCGCATGACACTGACCACCTCTTTGCATGCCCAACCAACCCCACCCATCTAACACCCCTTTCCCTTTGGTCCGACCCCTTCGAAACAGCACGTTTCCTGGGCCTCCCGTTAGATGACATCGACGACAATACTGATAACCCTCACCATCCCAACGGGGACTGATAATCGTTACAACAACAACACCTTCACCGCTCTACCCATCCCTACGCTCGCTTCATCCCGGCTGGAAGAATTGCGGCACTCCGCTATAAGTTCCCAGCCGAAGCAGCCGTTTTAGCCAACGAGAGTGCCATCTTACGCCAGGCCGGTGATACCCGAATAAGGGATCACAATTCGGAGATTGGTTAATCAACACAAGCGGACGAAATGGATGGTGCACGTGGTCTACTGTCAAGGTTTTTTTCTAGTCTGAAGAGACGGGATGACCGAGTTGAAGTTCAATTCAATGGTCATGCCTCTTCGGACCCGAAAAAGTGCGCGAGCTATTTTAGCCGGCAATTTACACTGCACCCTTCGGTAGACAAAACCAAACGAAGTGTGACTCGACGGCTGCGCAAAATTTCAAGGGACTGCGCATCACTTACTTTCACCGATGAGGAGAATGTCATCAATAAAGCAGAATCAGCTAAATACATTGATCCTTATAGAATGAATACGCTTACCTAAACTACCTCACCAAGTCCCCAACTTATCGCTGACCACTCTTCAAATACCCGATGTGTGGAAAGTCGGAAAAGTGGTCCCACTACTGAAACCTGGGAAACACGCCAACAGGCGAGTCCTATCGTCCGATAACTCTCCTCTCCCCAGTAGGGAAGACACTTCACTTACCATCTGAACCTAGCAAACCACCAGTATGTATTCCGAAAAGTGCACAGTACCACCACAGAATTTGGCGTCATAAACGCCCAGATAGTTTGTGATCTTAACCAGAAACCTGTGAAAGAACGATCCTCGTAGCGTTGGACATGTCAAAACTCTCGACACAGTCAGTCACACATCGCTACTGCAGGACATTGAAAAAGCTACGCTTCCTCCAGGACTGAATATGACCCACCTGAGAAGAATGAAACAAGGGGTTCCGCAGAGTGGTGTGCTCCCCACGCTATTGTTTAACTTCTATGTCTCGAAACTCCCACAGCCACTAGTGGGAGTGACCTTAATATTGCAGTCGACGTCGTCAAAATTCCCACTGTCAATAATCCTTAGATTTAAGATGTAACTTCTGATAGTCTATGCTCCTTCACTCCTCATACGGACGTCGCTAGCCGGCAGCACATAGGGAAAGGACAGCTTACAAAGTAATCGGCCGGCCGGTCATCAACTACCCAATATGATCGCCTGATGCAGACCTGTCAGAACACTGCATTAGTACACTTACATAGTAAGACCCGTATGCTCCCAGTTAAAGAGCATAATGAACTCCACTGCTTTCAAAACAATCACCCCTGCAATCACCTGCTTTGAGTGGAACCGCTTCCTAGGAACATCAGGAGGGCATTCCTCAATTACTTCGACGACCTTCATTGACTCCCTTCCAGTGAATGGCGTAATTAGAGTTAAACCATCACCCCACGGAGACTAGGTACCCGTAAGAACACCTACAACATGAGTCCATCAACAGACCTGTATTACACCCAACCGAGGTGGAGTTAGGACAGCCTTTTAGCGCAGTAGAAGAGTTTCTTTGGGCCCAGGTTGCACGCAATGCCAGCACAAATCGGGAGGATGCGGAGCAATCCTAGTGCAAGGAGTTGGTCTAGTGATGACAAACTCAATCTAGTCACCGATCAAAAAGGGTTTGATCGCCGGGAAAATAGCCCTTGGCCCGATAAAATCCGGGTCAATTCCGGTAACATAGAACCGGCTGTCGAAGGAATTACAAAATTTTTGCATCTTAACTTACGTCTTAGTTATAACATTAAGTAAGTTGTCGATTAACAAGATTTTGTAGACGTGGCAGGCCTTTGGGTGTAAAAGATCAAGTGCAACAAGTTTCATCAGAATATAATTATTTTTATTCAAGCAAGTGCAAGCGATAGCACTTGCAAACACAGACGAACAAACAGAAAGTCACTATAAATATGAAAATCTATTACAAATATTGCAATTACTATTTTTGGTCAGAAAGCATAATTGGCTATAAAAAATAAATGTTGAATTTGTTTCAGAATAATGATATTGATTTTCTTTTATTTTTTAGTGTTTGAGTTGCTCACAATGTATTAAAAAAAACCACATTATCCATGATGATCTCTATTCAGTATATTCAAAATGGCAACCAAAAACTCTTTTTAGCATGCCTTACTATGAGGTCACAAATTTGTGACTAAAGACTGAGTTGTGAATAGTATTAAGTCAAAATTGAGACTGGCTAGAGAATGACTAATTAGATAATTTCGCTTCATGTACTCATCTCAAATTATAATTGGACTTTTTCTCAACATTGCAATTATTCCGCTATTTTTTATGTTAGATATTGTTCGGTTTATTATGAGGACTTGGCGTCGTACGCCCAGAAACTAGCTAAATAACCGTAATGCGTGCAGCTGTCAATGCGATCTTCTATTGTGATATTATTTTGTTTATTTGTTTAGTCTTGCCGGTTTGTTCAGTAATACAGATACGAACGACTTTTAGTGTATAAAAAGTGATCTATGTCCGTTTCGTGGTTTTAAGCTACCTCCCAACTAATTTTCCAAATCAGTTCATCATATTGATGTGTTATATATCAAATGCAAGGTATTTGGTGTACTGACAACAAAATAGAAAGCTCTTTCATCTAAGTCAACTACTCTACTCTACTACGACTATGTTTCCATTATACATTACACGGTATTCTGCATAGCATGAGGCCACATAACTAATATTCCACGCTCGATATATCTTAATCAATCTCGGCTTACTAGAGCAAATCTTAGTAAAAATAGCGAGGCACTAGGGCATAGCCGAAAATGAATTGGCTAAAAAATTCATGTTGCACCTACCAGGATTCTAGAACCTTCCATGGCCATTCCCATTAGGATCGCACGGCATAAAGAAGTTCTATAAGAAAAAAACGAGAGAATAGAAGAAGGGGGTAGCTGTATATTTTTTGCCAGCGTCAGTATCAACTTGTGTTGTAAGGATAAATCCGTAAAAGGTTTATAAAAAATTATAAACTTGTACTGGGATAATTATTGTAGCAACATTTGCAGACCACAGTAGATTTCGGAAACATCTGCTTTGAAACTTTTGAAGGTGTAGGACTCAGAGTGAAATTCTCAGAGCGAAATATTGCCTTCTCAACTCCAATCACGACTCTGAAATTGATCAGGGACATTTACTTAATGAGTCATTTTGAAGAGAGGGCGGCACAATTTATACTTCGATCAGATTATAATTCCATTTAATCGTGAAGTGTAACAGAAAGTGAGTTGACATAAAATATACTAATTATAATAATAATAATGTTTTTTTTTTTAACTAACCTTACGCCTGGAAAGAACGTACAAAAACTCTTTATTAGCAGACATCATTGTATCCTGTAAGATTTTGTTTCCAGGGTCGACGGTTATCTCTTCATATTCGCCTGCATTGTTACCAGATATTAATACTTTTTTTATTGAACCGGTTTCAGTACCCAAAAATGCCAAAGAATGAGGACCAGTGGTCGTGGTAGTAACTGATGTGATGCTAACGTTATCAAAATGAAGTAGGGCTTGCGCTGTAATTGGTGATGATCCACTGATTTTTAATCCCACGGTGCAAAAGTCTTGAATATTCCCTATAGTCTGGAAAACATTAAGACAAAACCCATTACAGACCTTTACTAAGAATTTCATGAAAATACGTACTCCTGCTACTGGACAGTGGCCATCATCGATAGTTCCTGAGATATAGCCTAAATTTCTATCTTTGATTGTGCCATTGAAGCACATATGTATATTTTCGTTAAATACTTCCTCAATATCTTTAAGACTGTATAAGCACATAGCCGAATTGGCTTCCGCTTGGTCAGTTATCTCATTAGATGGTGAAAATATCGCAACTAAAACAAAATCGTCACGCTTTATTCCCAAATATTGTGCTAGTTTTTGTTCTGCTTGAGTTATTTTAGCGTCGCGTAGGATGTTATAGTCGATATTGTTCTTAGTAGCATGGCATTGGATAGTTACCTCAGTATAAGTGTCATAGTTCGGATCAGTAACACAAATTCGTGCTAATCGAGTAATATAACCAGCCTCATCAGCCAAGTGAGACTTTTTCTGCACTATGGCAAAATAGGCATATTCTGATGAATTAAATCCATAAACGTAGTTAACAAGAAAATGATCTCGATATTTTACATCTATATTAATAATTGATTGTTGTATTGAAAATTCAACGTAGTTTAAATCGTCTAAACGGCGTGATGAAATCGCAGGCACGTCGTGCCTATAATCGCCAACATTTGTAAACGTTGTACCAACATAAAGAATGTCTTCATCTTTCCATGAATATTTTGCTGGACCAACGTATGCATATGTGGATGCAAACTCATCATTTGCTGCCAAAGGTGTTTCAATAAATGTTGGAGAATTTGGGAAGTTAGTAAGATTGTACATTTCACACGCTCCTACAGGATAACCATATATTTACATAACCTTTCTATGAAATTGTAAATAAAAAAAAAAAATTACCTTGTCGTACACTGCCGCAGGCAATAAGAATTCCAAACCCTTCTACGTAATTAACAATTAGTATTTTATTATGAGTATCAACTAATGTTGTTTCCACATCTTCGGGGCAACCACTGGCATGACATTGTGGCGAATCATATTTTGGTCCAGTTAACGCCTGAGTTAAAACTCTTAAATTTTCATTTAATTGTAGTATCTTATTAGTTGCGCCCGCGTAAAAAACTTTCTGCTTAAAATCGTATGTCAAATGTGTAAAATAATTCTTGTCTTGGGAACGACTTAAAGTGTTTGGTAGTGAGCGATTTAAGGAATTTAATTTTATTGTTGAAGTGTTAATACTTTCGGAATCTCCATCGCTATTGCCTAGAGCCAGTTCAGACAAATTAAATTGAGCTACTATATCACTGCAGGAAAACTGTAAATTTATAGAAGTAGCGTTTGTAGTGATTATATTCGCCGATACGTCGTTTAATTTTCTTCGACCGCCTTCATTTAATGCGGCATCGACGCTTAAAGTATCGCAGTAGAAAAACCAGTATATAGCGCTAAACGTATAAAATCTAAATATTCGTAATAAGGCTTGCCTTTTCCGACGCCGCCAGAGTCTGAATTGAATAAAACCATTTCCGCTTGTATTGGCAAAATCTGGTGATATAGAAATAGAATTCGGTTCGTCATTATTTGGGCGGAATATGCATTGAGACATAGTTGTTACTGTTCCTAGGACGGTACCAATCACTTTCCCATTTCGATAATTACGCTGATGGGTCGAATTGAGCATTTGAAGTAACAGGACTCTTTTTCTGATATATTTTTGATATTTGAGTGAAGAGGTAATTTAAATTGCTTTCCAATGTAGCTATTATAGTTGATCTTTTACAAACTTATATAATAATGAAATGGCAGTAAGAAAACTTTCTGGACAGTCTCCGCATTCCGAGGCATTCCATTCACTATTCCCCAATTGTGTTATTTCATAATTTGTATTCAAATATTCATTTACTTCAAATTTTTTAAATCACTTTATTTTTTAACCCAAGCCCGTGGATTAGATGTTGACTCAGTCTTAACTTGTTTCTGGTTTTGTAAATAAGCTCAATTTACTGCAAAGAAATTCTCCGTTTGCATTTAAACGAGTAATATGCTGAAAGTTTTTAAATATAATTTTCATCAAATATGTAATGTAAGGAATGAATATGGAAACTAATTTATATAATTAAACTACTAATATTGTGTAATTACATAAAATATACAATTATAAAAATTCATAATAAATCGAAAAATGGCACGTTTATATTATATTTTTCGATTTTAAATTCAATTTCTAGTGAATATTTCTTAAAACTACAAAATGAGCACCTCAAAACTTTTTTAAAATTTATCATAGTTATAACAATATAAGTATTATAATTATTTGAATTAACATATCAGTCAATGTAGTTACATTATATATACTTCGGACAAAATAATAGGTGTAAGCTGGTTTTACTTAATAAATTTGAAATACGCAATTCAAACAACTTTGTTTTAGTTATATCTTTGCTTTACTTAATTAAACCTATATATGTGTGTCGTAAATCTTTCATTCCGAATATTAAAACTGAAGCTTTTTTTAAAACAAGAAATAGCATTGGCCAATTAATAGGTGTAAAATATATGTGACCTGGTCTACGGAAAGGGGGCTTAGGTGTCAAAAAATCCTAAAAATCAATTTTCACTTTTTAGTTGATTCGGATGAAAGATGAGATTTTTAACAGCTGTTTCCCAGAAAACTAGTTTTCGCGCGTTAGCTCCCTTTTCGTAGACTAGGTCATATATATTTTTTTTAACAAAAACAATAAATTCAATTCCTTCTTTTATATCGTCCACAGATTTTTAATAACCTGTATATCGCCCGTTATTTTTCTTAAGTTTTCCAATTGCCCTTCTGCATGACTTGAATTCATCCTTCTTCTCTTAGGGTCACTCCAGTTCTCAATTGGGTTTATTATCAGATTATTAACCAGGTCATTGTATAAGAGTCACTTTTACATCCTCGAACCACTCAGATACCAACCTCGAAGATGTTTTAACAGTTATCTAATCAACACTAGGGTGGTAAGGGTCATTTGTGTTGTCGCCGAGGTCATTTAACGGCCCAAGAAACATGCTGTTTCGACGGGGTCGGACCAAAGGGAGGAGGGTGTTAGATGAGTGGGGTTTGTAGGGCATGCAAAGAGGTGGCCAGTCTCATGCAGGGACTCGTTACATGCAGGACATACATTGGGTATAAAAGGGTCAATTCTGGATAACTAGGAGGTTAACCTGCTACAATATCCAGAACGATGTTGCGCTAGGGTCACTCGCGTTTCTCGCAGCAACTGGAGCTCTTCGTCTGCGATAGGTGGTGATTTGACTACAAGAACGCCATTGACGGAAAGAGAGTCGGTGAAGTTGCGTCCGAAGTCCGGTCGGCGTACTGTACGAGGTCGTCGGCGTAGTCAAGGAAAGACCTTTTGATGCTCCTAGGAGGCGGTTCCGCTCCAAGCAGATGGCTACAAGGCTGATTCCTACGGAAACATCCTAGTAGGAACTGCTTCGAGAGGAGTTCATTATGCTCCTTGACAGGGAGCATAAGCGTCTCACTGTGGAGGTGTTCTATGAGAGACATCAAAAGGCATTCCGTCGTGGTCCGAAGTGCTACCAACCTCAATGTATGTTATGGGTCGTTATACTTTTAATAACACCATCTCAGTGGCATGGTTTCTTTACTATATGGTAGCATAAAGTTTTGCAAAATATCTCTGTACTCAAAGGCTATCATTATGACCTTTACCCGAAATAAAAGACTAACGCCTTTCCAGGGCGAACATTCCGACATTATGTTTTCGGCCTCATGTTTAATTGTCTTTGTTATCAGCACTGAATAAAACATTTCGCCACGTCAGTTCTTTGATGGGACAGCACCAATTTTTAAGTTCAGTGGCAAAAGCTTTTTTATTCTGAATGTGGACTTATCGTAGAGGAGGAATAATTCTGTCATTACGCCCCGGTATCCGTTCATTAATCGACACCGGATCATTGTCCGCGAGCGAAATTCAAGAATAATCAGTATTAATTGAAAAACTCCCTCTGAAATGGCTTGGTCAACCAAATAGCACATTTTTAAAAAATGAAGATTTATTTGCAAAAAATTATAAGGAGTGAATTTTTATGACTAATTAAGGTTGTTTACGATAAAGTGATTTAATTCAAGTAGAAATGGATCATGGTAAGCACAGTAGTCCTGATAAAAGACGCATTATGCACAATATGGATAAATTCGTGAAAACTGTTATATAAATTGCTGTTTTATTGAATTGTTGCCGGAAAATGGTTTACAATGGCCTTAAACTCATAAAAGACAACGAAATTTATTTGACCAAAAAAAAAAGAAACTACAAACACCGCGAAAGAACAATTACTGAAAATAGAGCCATAGTCGGGAAGATCAAGGCCGACTCTTTTAAGTCTTCAAGACAAATAATGCAGGAAATTAATAAAGAATATGGATTAAATATTTCGCGGAAGACTTTTGGAAGACGTTTAAAAGCGACACAACTTTTTGGCTGCCCGAGTCGAAAAAAAACCACTTTTGTCAAAGCGGCACAGCGAAAGTCGGTCACGTTTCGCGAAAACACATAGAGATAAAGATCTTATTTTTGGGGAAATGTGTTATGAACGGATAAAACGAAAATTAATAGTACGGTTCTTATGGGAAAAGTATTGTTCATCGTCCTAAAGGTCAATCGTTGATTCCAAGGTACTCAAAGAAGACGATAAAATACGCAAGCGGAAATTAGATGATATGGGGTGCCTTTTCCTGGCATGGCATGGGCCTAATTATTTCCATTTAAGGGAAAAAAGGTCGGTATCAATATTTAGACATATTAAGGAACGAAATGGAATCATTTGCTTTCAGCTGCATGCCCCTTCGCTGGACTTTTATGCAGGATAACCACTCTAAGCGCACAGCGACAATCACAAAGGCTTAAGAAAGAAAAAATTAATGTTTTGGATTAGCCAGTGTTAAGCCCTGACCTTAGTCCAATAGAAAACTTATGGAATGTTAATTTTAAAATTGCTGCTAAAAATTTTACAAATTTTAAAGATTTATAGAAGGTATTAAGGAAGCTTGGTACTCCATCCCAAAGAAGATATGCGAGAAGTTTGTAAATAATGTGGAATGCGAATGTGATGCTATAAGTGAAAATCTGGAATATAGAACAAAGTATTAGAAACGTAAACATATTATGTCACCAAATCTGCAATTCAATTTCACCAATTTCATATGATTTTTGTAGTTTTGGTAAAATGTGCTATTTGGGTGACCAAGCCATTTCAGAGTTCAAGTTTTTTCAATAAATACTAATTATTCCTGAATTTTTATTGGCTACTTTTTACTTAAATAGATAAATTAATAAACAAGTAATAATATTTTAAGCTCTTTTAACTCTTTTGAAGATTTTTGTAAATTGTATAAGCGCTTATTGCTTCTTACGACTGCATAAAAGTATTGCATTCAAAAGCTTAAGCTATAAATTAAATATTATTATATTATTATGGACTATTCGATGCGAGGTTTTGAGGCATTGAGGTTTCACCTTCAGATCTAAATTTGAAATTTATTGGTATAAACTATTGCTCAATCGAAAAAGTCAAAATTTATCACTAATTACAAATCACTATTGTTTGAACTTAAGACATGCTGAAAATTAAAACAACGGGAATCTATAGCATTCTGAGAGGTAACGTAAATTTTATGTCATTGAAGTACGTTGCAGCGTGATTTCCGGCAAGGTCTACAGTAAGATTTTAAGGATATCGTTTTTTGGTAAAATATTTTTTTTTGCACGGCATTTGAAGCTCTTTACGTACAGCTGCGACGGAAACCATTGGTTTTCGGGAAACGCAGAAGAACAGCTAGTGCGATGAGAAAAAGCAAACTGCCTACCTTAAAACGTTACAATCGACCACAACACGTGCGGGATGAGTTAGATAGAGTTGAAGAGGAAAGCGAGGCGCATTTGCATGCAAAAAAGAGAGAGGCCGAAATGCGTGAGAACGAAGAGCTTTAAAAGCTGGACGACAGGTGTAATGCTCGAAAATTCTACGAAAAGATGCAGCGACACATTTTCATAGTTCAGCAAATTAAAAGATACGCGTCTACGCAGGCTAGGTGATATCGTCCAAATGGACGAATACACTCCAGTTCTGAAAGTTTTCGACGCAGTAGATTGGAAAGACCAGGTGGAGAATGACGTGGCTTCGCTTGGAATCTCCCATTGTTGTGTCTACGCCAGTAAAGAATTTGTTTTGCATAAAACTTCCTTCATTCCGATATATCTTTCACGGTAAATCTTAAAATACCATCCCTTGAAGTCGGTAGTTCGTACGGAAAAATTTGTAGCACCCGCAGATATGTAGTGCTTTAGAGTTTTGCATTTAAAGTTCAAAAACTTTAGTGCGTGTTTTTCCAGTCTGTTTTGTTCAAAATATAAGTAAATAGGTAAAGTTTCAAATGATCAGTTGTTATCAGAAATAATGTAACAGAGCTATTTTATGGATCTGCTTGCTAGCGACTACTCTGTTTGCTTGCTCACCAACGAATGGCCCCCACTCGATAAAACTGTCGGTAACAGAAATATACTTTTAGAATAATATTAAAATTGCCTCTTTTAAGTCGTTGCTGTTTTATCCACAGCGCACTTTTGTATATGGTGATCGTAATATTTAAAAGCAGGTTTTGTAACAATCATTGATAGATTACTTTAGTCTAAAATTACTATAATTTAAATTCATTCTTGATAACTTCCGGCAGCAAATAAATGGAGAGTTTGTTATCTAGTCCTCGTTCTGGCATGTCTCAAGTTTCTTCATCTGCGTTTCATTGCATCCATGCGACCATATTGGTGAGGCGTATTGAAGGACCGAGGAGTTCATCCGTTCCCACGACAGTCGGGTCTACGAAAACCGGAACGGACCCGGATTTTTATCCGGGCAAGGACTGTCAACTCGGCAGAATTCTGCCGTTACAACAACAACAACCGAGGAGTTCATTATGCTCCTTAACAGGGAACATAAGCGTCTCACTATGTAGGTGTCCGATTGGAGCCATCTGGAGGT